GCGGCCTCCTCACGCTCCAGGAGGTCCTTGCCTTGCAGCACTGCCACACGGAGGGTGTGGGAGCCTGAATCATAGTCCATGCCCACCTCTACCTGGCCCAGGGTGAAATCCTGCCCGAAGGTGTTGCTCACAGAGGAGATGGAGTTCAGAGAGTCGGCCGACTGAGACTTGCGGAGAGGACCGTACGGAGCCAGGTCCAGTTCCCGGCCCATCAGCTCCAGAGGTCCCAGCTCACTGATGCTCTCATAGGTGTCCTCTATACTGAGGCTGCCTTTGCGGCTGGGTGGTTCCCTAGCAGTGGCCCGCTGGGTGTTCCATGGAGGGACTCTCTGAGGATGAACAAAAGGGACAGGGCAGCATCACATGGGTCTGGGAGACTGCAAAGAGATGCCCACTGCCTGTTGGTTCAAGTCACCCCAGGCTCTCCTTTCACAAAAACAGGGGGACTGTTATTTCAGGCCACGTTGCTTCTCTTTCCTCAAGAAGGAACTTGCTACATATCTCAGGCTGGCCTGGAACTCATGATCCTCCTGCTTTAACCCAAGTACTGGCATTACAGTCACGCATCAAGCACATCTAGCTTGTTGTTTTCATTTTCTTTTTCCAAGACAGGGTTTCTCCTTGTAGCCTTGGCTGTCCTGGAACTCTCTCTGTAGACCAGGCTGGCCCTCGAACTCAGAGATCCACCTGCCTCTGCCTCCCCAAAGCTGGAATTAAAGGCGTGTGCCACTGCCACTCCAGCTGTTTCTAATTTTTCACAAATACAAATAATTCTACATCAAATAGCAAGTTTTTGTTATTCGAGACAGGCTCTCATTCAGCCCAGACTGGCCTTGATGTTACTATGTAGCCAAGGATGGCCCATGCCCTTAGTCACAGCACTCAGGAGGCAAGGCAAGTGGATCTGAGTGGAGTCCAGCCTGGTCTACACTGCAAGTTCTAGGCCAATCAGGGCTACACCGTAAAACCCTGTCTCAAAAAAAAAAAAAAAAAAAACAACAAAACAAAACAAAAAAAACCACCTCTTTATTAAAAATCATGTGCAAGCTTGTGTGTCTGCATGTAGGTTGGGCATGAGTGCAGGTGAGTGCAGAGGCCAGAGGCATCAGCCACCGTGGAGTGGTAGATAAAGAAGATGTTGATCTCACCTACATAAGTGCTGGGAACCAGAGCTGGGTCCACTTGCCCACATGATAGCTCCCCCCCCCCCCCGAGACAGGGTTTCTCTGTGTAGTCCTGCCTATCCTAAGGCTCACTCTGTAGGCCAGGCTGGCCTTGAACTCAGACAGCCGCCTGCCTCTGCCTCCCGCCTCTGCCTCCCAAGTGCTGGGATCAAAAACGTGGCCACCACCACTTGGCTTTCTTTTTAAAATTACATGATAGGCTTTAGAAAAACATATGTTTAAAAAAAAATTTATTTAGGGTGAGTGAGAGCAGGCTCCGGCATCGTGGTCTGTGCATGTAGAGTCAGAGGACAACCTTTAGGAGCCATTTCTCTTCTTCCACCATGTGGGTCCTCAGGCTCTAACTCGGATCATCAGATGTGGTAGCTAATGCCTGTACTCACTGAGCCACCTCACCAGCCCCAGGGATGGGGTTTTGTTTGTTTGTTTTTGTTTTTTGCTTTGTTTTTCAAGACAGGGTTTCTCTGTGTAGCCCTGGCTGTCCTGGAACTCCTTCTGTAGACCAGGCTGGCCTTGAAGTCAGAGATCCCTCTGCCTCTGCCTCCCTGAGTACTGGGATTACAGGCGTGTGCCACATTACTGGGCCCAGGTGATAGGTATAAGAGAGGTCCGATCCCCACTCACAGGGAGGTAGTAATCAAGAGGGCCGAGGCCGAGAGGCCACCCTCGGAAGGGATGGTGGGATGTGGGTCTGCAGGAGGAAGCCTCACCTTCAGCTTGGCCTCCACGTAGACCTCTCCATACTTTTGCTGCAGGTACCTGTAGTCATAATTAGGGAACGGGGATGGGCTGGGGAAACTCCCCGACGTCCAGAGCTTCCACAGACTCACAGCTGCAATTCCAAGCAGTGCCAGGGCCCCTGCAGCGTAGACACCCACCTCCCAGCCAGGGGGGCTCTTGATGACTGCAAGGCAAGGACAGCCTTCATTATTGGGGTACAGTGATCACATTCACCTCTACCCAGAAACAAAAAGCTAATTACCATTGATACTTGTATATACACAAGTATACATGTTTTGTGTACTTGGCTTTTTATTTTTTTAGATTTATTTGTTATATATACAGTGTTCTGTCTGCACGTACATGTGCAGCCAGAAGAGGGCACCAGATCTCATTAGAGATGGTTTTGAGCCATCTCAAAACCACCTTGTGGTTGCTGGGAATTGAACTCAGGACCTCTGGAAGAAGCAGCCGGTGCTCTTAACCTCTGAGCCATCTCTCCAGCTTGACTGGCTCTTTTTTATTATGTGAGTATGAACACGTGTATGTGCATGAATGTGTGTGCATGTGTGTAGAGGCCAAAGGTCAACCTTAGGTGGTATTCTTTGGAAGCCTTCCACCTTGTTTTTGAGACAGGGTCTCTCATTGGGACATCCCCAGGGCTCTTCATGTCTCTGCCATCCTAATTTTCACACGGCTGCTGGGGATCAAACTCAGGTCCTCATACTCACATGGCAACCATTTTCCTGACCCAGACACCTCCTCCTAAGCCCCTGTTTTTTGTTTGTTTGTTTGTTTTGCTTTTGTTTTGAGACAGGGTTTCACGTGGCCCAGGCTGGTCTCGAACTTGCTATGTAGCTAGGATGATTTTAGCTCCTTCCTAATTTTCCTTCTAAGTGCATCACCCTACTCAGTGATACTTGTGTACTAAACACCTTTTTATTGGGGGAAAAAGGGGGTCAGCAAGATGGCTTATCCAGTGAAGGCGCTTGCCACCAAGCCTGATGACCCCAGCTTGGTCCCTGAGACACCATGTGGTGGGAAAACATACCCAACTTCCACAAATTGTCCTCTGCCTGTCC